ATCTTCACAGGAAGGCAAAACAGTTAAACGGCAGGTTACAGATATTTCCATTTGACTGTTTATTTTGACAGATGAACTCAAGGATGTTGCTTGGTTTGAAAGAATTACCCCGACGCACACTGATGCGCATGGATGAGCTGACATTTTAATCGTTAACGCACATCGCGGAGGTAAAATATTCCCATCAGAACATCAGAGCTTTATACTGCACACTGTGTTCAGCGCGGCTCGGAGCGCCCACGGTGGACAGTGAGCTGAAGATCTGGGGTTCGCAGCGCAGTGCAGAACCACGGCGCATGCGATAAGATTTCCTCCCACTGAAACAGTCTGGAAACCCGGTCTCTCTGAGGGATGTGTCACTTGGAAAAATTTTCTTTTTATGAAAGTATGAAACTTTGGCTGAACAGCGCTTGTTCCCGTCTCTAATATGGAGACGCATGACGCGTAGAGACATTTGATCACGCACAAAGTTTATGTGGAGTAGAAGCAGTCGGGCCACGGCAGGTGAAACGTTCCTAGCCTACATGAAGTGAAACTGTTTAATTGTAACATTAATGTGTTACTGGACACGCTGGTCTGGTTGGTTAGACCAGTGTTTGAAGTGGAAAACAAACACACACACACACACACACACACACACACACACATACACCAATTAAAATAATGCTGATAGCGTGGACTAGAGGACAGGTGATGGTTTACGTATTTAAATGATGATCAGGCTGATGTAAAATGTAATCTCCATCCACATCCAGACACAATTATCCTCTATTCTTTCTCTATTTGCTCTGCTCTTGTCTGGGCTGACGTAGCTGACGGTGCGCGCGGCGCGCCTAACTAGCGGCTGATGCACATTTTACGCATTTGGAGAGGTGGACTGGATGCTTTGCGTTTACTGGAAGATGGTCCACTTAACGCACGGGTGTAGACTACATATTAATGACAAATGAATGAAAATTAAATTGTGAGTTTTTACTTCATATTTTATAAATAAAAAGGACGGGGGAACACATTTATGACATCTTTTTAAACTAAATTTTCTAGCACGACCTGCCTGCTTCACTTAAGTCACTGCTTATTAAGGTCCGTCCAAAATTACTGTGGGAAACGGGTAATAATGGCTCTTTGATGGGAACAGGTTGCCGACCCCTGGTATAAGATCTGAGCTGGTAAAACAAAAATCCTCATCAGCAGGCATTTTTGAAAGTGGGGGGACACAGCTGCCAATCACAAATTTTGACGGGGACATGTCCCCGGCGTCCCCGGTTAAAATGACGCCTATGGTTAGCAGGCTTGCTAACAGTGGCACTTGGTGTCCGAGTCCTTGCCTGCCGTAAATTCTGCGACGTCACTGTGTTGTTTTCGTACAAGAAATGATGTAGAGGGACTTATTGAAATGAAAACTTAGCCATTTTTATTCAATTTGAAAGTCTATATCTCAGGATTAATTTAAAATGTCATGTTTGTTTCGTGTTTTAAAAGGTTAAATCCAATTTATTCTCCCGATTACGATCCGTTCAAAAACACGTGATCTGGCCCCATTGCCGATCACGTGATCGGATCGGAGCATCCCTAATACTACGGCAACACCACTCAGCCAAAATATATTGTATCTCTTTCTCGATTCCGTTCTTTCACATGTTTTGGAAATAGTTTAGAAGTTGTGTTATTAAATTTGTGTTTCTTACTGCCGAAATGTTTTTGAACATGGTAACGTAACTTCCGTAAGTCGCACGTCCAGCCAGTCATCTAGTGTGACATCATCGACAGGGGCAGAACCCCAAACCGGTATCTAATGTTGGTTCCCCCGAAGATGCTAGACCTGCACCCTATGTACTTTGGACCTGATTTTTATAGTTATATGGTACAAAGCTGCCAATATTTTTCAACAACTGGACACCACTTCATTCATTTTCAACAATGCTCTGATGGATATTTCCAGACTAACGGCAAAAATTACACACTGTCACTTTAAAGACCCAAACCAAAGTCCTGCACTGGTCCAATTTTCCCAACCTGCACTGGTTAGATGATTTTCTAAGCAGACCAAGTACCCATGGTTATCTCCTGATCAAAACACCCATTATGTCCATTTCCACTATCAAAACCTTTTACTGGACCTTTGCGGCATCCACCTGTCTCAATCTCACCGAGCTGGCCTGAAAGCAACATTTTCTGGGCCATTTCAGGGACCAACTGAGTACCTGAACTGGGGTACTTGAAAGTATGGAACTAGGATTGGGACAATATTACATTTAATGTGAACCATGTTTTGTAACACGTAACTTTAGTTTTGTAGCATGTAATTCTCATTTTTTAACATGTAATTTTGGTACGCAACATGAAACTTTTATTTTGTAACTTGCAGAAAAATGTACAAGTTTCAAATCACGACGTTCAAAACACAAATCTCAGTCTACAGTTACAAAACGTAAGTCTACAAGTACTAAACATTTTGTCCCAATTCTAGCTTGCTTTCCACAGGAATCGTCTTCGACAGGAATCCAAGACTCATGATTGGCTGGTCAGACAAAGCCTGTCATTGGTTATTTTGGAAGCAAGCTAGAATTGGGAAAAAAATGTTTTGTACTTGTAGACTTGAGTTTTTTAACTGTAGACTGAGATGTGTGATTTGAAAGTTGCACATTGATTGTTTTCAGCAAGTTAAAAAACTTAAAGTTTCATGCTGCGTACCAAATATTATGTGTTACAAAACAAGAATTACATGCTACAAAACGAAAGTTACAGTTACAAAACATGTTACAGGTTACAAAGCTTGGTACAAGTTACATGTAGTATTGTCCCAATCCTAGTTCCATATAAAATAGGCCCAGTAGAGTCACTGGGCATGTCTTGTGGTCAACTCATGCTGATTGGTTGTAACTCAGTAAGAAATGACATAAACAAACATCGCCAAAACAACCAGCATTTGTAAAACAGGAAACGTTGCTGGTTGACCTGAGGAAGAGTTGCACTGACAGACATGAGGCTGCTGTACACCGAGTGGTTTTAGGAAAGCAGAGCGATGGGTACCACATTCGGTACTTTTTAAGGTACCGACCAAATTCCATAGTACCGACTGAGCACCGATTCACGTCATTTGAAACGGTGCCTCGTTTCGGTACCGTCCTTCATGCGCAAGAGCGTTATGGTAAATGGTAAATGGCCTGTATTTGATATAGCGCCTTCTAGAGTCCTGGAACCCCCCAAGGCGCTTTACAACACAATCAGTCATTCACCCATTCACACACTGGTGGGGATAAGCTACAATGTAGCCACAGCTGCCCTGGGGCCCACTGACAGAGGCGAGGCTGCCGAGCACTGGCGCCACCTGTCCCTCCGACCACCACCAGCAGGCAATGTGGGTTAAGTGTCTTGCCCAAGGACACAACGACAGCGACAGACTGAGCGGGGCTCGAACCTGCAACCTTCCGATTACGGGGCGAGCACTTAACTCCTGTGCCACCGTCGCCCACTCCTTATGTCGTCGGTCGCTGCGAGCCAGTTGTAAACAGAGCAGCATGGTAGAAAGAACACACGCTAACGCTTGGGTCCACTTCACTAAATGTGATGGGTAACTGGGTGATGATGAAACCAGCGACAACGATCTAAGTGAGACATCCTCATCTTAATCTGCTCTGGTAGGTAAATAAAATGTTTAAGATAATGTTAGCTTGATATGTTAGCTTCCGTTCCGCTAATGGTGCGTTCGCTTTCTCCTCGGAACTCCGAATTTCCGACTAGAAGAACATGAACGCGCTCTAAAGTTTGGCTTCACTTTACTAAATGCGACGGGTGATTGGGTGAAGATGAAACCAGCGACAACGATCTAAGTGTGAGGCATCATCGTTTTAATCTGCTCCAGCAGCTAAATAAACTGTTTAAGATAACGTTAGCTTGATATGTTAGCTTCCATTGCTGCCATTGTTATCAGCTAATGGTGCGTTCGCTTTCTCCTCGGAAATTCTAACTTCCCAGTAGGAAAAATCAAATGAAAAAGGACGGCAAAAGGAATGAAGATACACAGTAAATTTAGTTCACAGTAAAGATGTTTGCTTCAGTTTAATTATCAGCTTATAAAACTACAAGGACGATGTTAAAATACAAACAGTTGTATGTTATTTATCATGATATTTATCAAATATGGTTATATATTGAGAAAAATATACATGTAATTATAAGTCAAGTTTATTTATAAAGCGCCAAATCACGACAAGAGTCGTCTCAAGGCACTTCACATAATAAACATTTCAATTCACAGTTCATTAAGCCAATCAGAAATAATGTTTCCTATATAAGAAACCCAGCAAATTGCATCAAGTCACTGACTAGTGTCAGTGACTATACAGCAATCCTCATACTAAGCAAGCATGCAGCGACAGTGGAGAGGAAAACTCCCTTTTAACAGGAAGAAACCTCCAGAGAATTAAAATATTAAACACTCAAAAGTATCTAAAACTGGTACCGTTAAGTACCGGTATCGATTCCTAGGTACCGGGAATTAGTACCGAATCGATTCAAAGGTCAAAGGTACCCATCCCTAATTTGTACATGGCCTCACTTAGACTAGCTGTTAGCCCCTCTATTCAGACACAAATAATCTCTGCTTCACCAAACTGAGGTTGCTCAAAAAGCTAATCACCTACAACAGGTAAGGTATTCATTATTCAGAACACACTGAAAAACCCAACCTACACTTTTAAAAGTAAAACTTTTGTGAACAATGCATTTATAGTCACAAAGTTCACAGTCTCAATGTTTTTGTAACTAGAAGCAGGGATGTAACAGAAGTTGAAGCATAAAGAAGCATTTTAGGAGCTCAGAGCTTCAAATGTGATGAAACCAGATAATCAAAATATGTTTTTGGTCGCTACAACTTCAGAACTCAAAAATGTGGGGTCAAAGGTCACTGTAGTTAAAAAGCTAGCTAGCAGCATAATACATATTGATATAAATATACTTAATCTTAAATGCAGATTTATAATAAATGTGAGACGTACCCAGTCGCTGATATGCTGCTTTCAGCCTCCATATCCTTGAGCTCCTTTAGTATAGCCTCCTCTAGTGGTGAGTCTGTGTGACGGCACTTTACTGCTGGCTCTTCAGAAGGAACAACATCCTTCGTTACCTTTTTCACAACAGTGCAATTAATAAAGCTCTAGTTTTTATAATTGCTGCATCAATGGGCTTTACTACATCAAAATGCACTTGTTAAACAGTGGTCCTCAGAAAACACAAGTTCACAACCTGCAGCCTCAAAATCATGCCCACATATTTCATGCATGCTGCCTTTGTTGGTGCTCAGACGTTTTCTGACTCTGCTGTATCACTAAATCACCTGACAGTAACAGTCTAGTTGCTGCTTGTGTTTAACAGCTGTGAGTAAAACTGAATGGACTCACCTCATCTGTTTGCATTTCTGAAACAAGACAAATAAACATAAGCTGAAGTCCACAGAAACAGTTCGTTATCCCAGCAGGACAAGATATGCTTACAGGTTTTTCACAAAATAAAACATGCAAATAGGAGTTTTGCAAACTAAATGATCAGTTTTCCTATCCTCCAAACAAGCCATCGTTGTTTTCTTGCTTTAGCGGGTCATAAAGGTGAATCTAAAGCGTTGAAACCAGAGATAAGATGTGTTTTTCATGCTGAGCTTATAGAGCATCAATCCTCACCTCCTCTGTGCATGTTCTTCTCCAGGAAGAGGACAATAGTAAATGGGTAGAATCGCATGTTCTTCTTAGGGCATCTGCGACTTCTGTCCCAGTGCTTCATGTCTGGTTTTCAATAGTTAATGCAATACTCAACTTCTGTGCTGTGTGGTGTAAAAATAAATAGCAACCATACAGAAGACAGTCATGAACACAGCAGTGGATACAAGGAAACACAGTGTAGTGGGTGGTGGAGAAAGGCCTGAGATTATTCAGGTTGCCAAGAACTTCTCTGACAATGACCTGAAAGAAAAAAGGAAATTAATTAAAACATACCACAAAATATCAACAAATAGTATTTTAACAAAACAAATATGTCTTACCTCCAGTTCTTGGTTGAAGCATTGTTCTCTCAAACATCTCTTCCCACTGATGAAACACATTTATATCACCTCTATTTTTAAATGTGCTTTAAAACAGTCTTTTGTAGTTAATCTGTTATTTGATCTGTCAGTAAATGTCTCACACGGGTGCAAGACAGAAGCTACTCTAATGCTAAGTGGTTAGCTAGAATGCTAATATGTTCCGAGTGTCACGTAGTTAGTTTAATTATGAAGTCTCTCTCCCTGGGCTGCCACCTTACCGTGGTGGAGGGGTTTGACTGTCTCAATGATCCTGGGAGCTAAGCTGTCTGAGGCTTTCTGCCTCTGGTAGGGTCACCCATGGCAAACAGGTCCTAGGTGAGGGATCAGACAAAGAGCAGCCCAAAGACCTCTAATGATGAATTATATCAATGGAAACCGTGTTCCCTCGCTCAGACGTGGGTCACCGGGGCCCCCCTCTGGAGCCAGGCCTGGAGGTGGGGCATGTTGGCGAGCGCCTGGCGGCCGGGCTTTCACCCATGGTGCCCGGCCGGGCACAGCCCGAAGAGGAAACGTGGGTCCCCCTTGCCATGGGCTCACCACTCATGGGAGGGGCCAAAGGGGTCAGGTGCAGTGTGTGACGGGTGGTAGTCGAGGGCGGGGACCTTGGCGGTCTGATCCTCGGCTACAGAAGCTGGCTCTTGGCACATGGAATGTCACCTCTCTGGTGGGGAAGGAGCCTGAGTTGGTGTGTGAGGTTGAGAGGTTCCGACTAGATATAGTCGAACTCACCTCAACGCATGGCTCTGGCTCTGGAACCAGTATCCTTGAGAGGGGTTGGACTTTCTACCACTCTGGAGTTGCTCCCACTGAGAGGCGCTGAGCAGGGGTGGGCATACTAGTTGCCCCCCATCTTGGTGCCTGTACATTGGGGTTTACCCCCGTGAATGAGAGGGTAGCCTCCCTCCGCCTACGTGTGGGGAGACGGGTTCTGACTGTGGTCTGTGCTTATGCACCAAACTACAGTTCAGACTACCCACCCTTTTTGGAGACCTTGGAGGGGGTGCTGGAAAGCGCTCCTTCCGGTGACTCCCTCGTTCTGCTGGGGGACTTTAACGCTCACGTGGGTAACGACAGTGAGACCTGGAGAGGTGTGGTTGGGAGCAAGGGCCCGCTGATCTGAATTCGAGTGGTGTTTTGTTATTGGACTTCTGTGCCAGTCATGGATTGTCCATAATGAACACCATGTTCAGACATAAAGGTGTCCACATGTGCTCTTGGCACCAGGATACCTTAGGCCGCAGCTCAATGATCAACTTTGTTGTTGTTTCATCTGACCTGCGGCCGCATGTCTTGGACACTCGGGTGAAGAGAGGGGCGAAGCTGTCAACTGACCACTGCCTGGTGGTGAGTTGGCTCAGATGGTGGGAGAGGATGCCGGTCAGACCAGGCAGGCCCAAACGTATCGCGAGGGTCTGCTGGGAACGTCTGGCAGAGTCTCCTGTCAGAAGATTTCAGATTTCAGATTTATTGGCCAAGTAAAATTACATTTACAAGGAATTTAGCTTCGGTAGATGTTTGCGCTCTAAAACATACAACAACCACAATAAATGAGAATAAAATACATAAAAAACACATAAGAACATGTATACCCACACGCGTACATTTACACACACACACACACACACACACACACACACACACACATATATACATGCCCACACACACACACACATATACATGCCCACACACACACACATATATACATATATGCACACACCCACACACACACACACACATATCCATAAGCATACTGAATAAGTGTTAAAAACTATAGTAAAAGGAAGGTAAAAGAATCTACAGATTCAGGAGAGAAATGGCTGAAGGAAAGAAACTGTTCTTGTGTCTGGTGGTTTTTGTGTACAGCGATCTATCGCGTCTGCCAGATGGGAGGAGATGGAAGAGAGTAGATGCAGGATGTGTGGCATCTTGGACAATATTCCCTGCCTTTCTCCTGGTCCTGCTGATGTACAGTTCCTGGACAGAGGGCAGTTGGGCACCAATGATTTTTCCTGCTGTTTTAATAATACGCTGTAGTCTGCATTTGTCCATTTTTGTGGCTGACCCAAACCAGACAGTGATGGATGAGCAAAGTATGGATTCGACTGCAGCAGTATAGAAGATGATCAGCAGCTCTTGTGGTAGGCCGTACTTCCTTAGTTGCCGTAAGAAATACATCCTCTGCTGAGCCTTTTTGAGGATGGAGTTGATGTTTGTCTCCCACTTCAGATCCCTGGAAATGATAGTTCCCAAGAACTTGAATGAGTCCACCATTGACACTGGGCTGTTGGATATTGTGAGGGGGGGGGGCAGCACTGTGGGAAGCTTCCTAAAATCCACGACCATCTCCACAGTCTTAAGGGTGTTAAGCTCAAGATTGTGCTGACTACACCAGACCACCAGCCTCTCAACTTCTCGCTGATAAGCAGACTCATCACCATCCCGGATGAGCCCAATGACAGTGGTGTCATCTGCAAATTTCAGGATTTTAACAGCTGAGTCCTTAGAGGGGCAGTCATTGGTGTACAAAGAAAAGAGCAGTGGAGAAAGGACGCACCCCTGTGGTGCACCGGTGCTGATCAACCTTGTGCCAGATGTAACGTTGTTCAACCGCACATGCTGGCTCCTATTTGTCAGGAAGCTGGAAATCCACTGACACATAGCAGGGGAAACAGTGAGCTGAGAAAGCTTTGAGGTGAGGATTTGTGGTATAACGGTGTTAAAAGCAGAGCTAAAATCCACAAACAACATCCTTGCGTAGGTCCTTGGTTGATCAAGATGTTCCAGGATGAAGTGCAGCCCCATGTTAATTGCGTCATCCACTGACCTGTTTGCCCTATAGGCAAACTGCAGGGGATCCAGCTGGTGGCCTGTGGTGCTTTTAAGATGGGACAGCACCAAGCGTTCAAAGGACTTCATGACTACTGATGTCAAAGCCACGGGTCTGTAGTCATTCAGTTCGGTAGGGGAGGATTTCTTAGGTACTGGGATGATAGTGGAGCTTTTGAAGCATGGTGGAACCTCACACCGCTCCAGCGATCTGTTGAATATCGTTGTGAAGACAGGTGCTAGTTGGACAGCTCAGGTCCTGAGGCAGGAAGGAGTTACTCCATCTGGGCCTGGTGCCTTCCGTACGTTCTGTCTCCTAAAGATGTTGCAGTCATCCTCTTCATTCACAAGAAACGTAGCTTGTGATTTAAGCCGGGTGTACACTGTGCGACTTTTCCACTCGTAGCATTCAGCTTCAGCTCAAACTGTACGACTTCCTCGCAGGGCAGATCTCACGAGTCATGCGCTCACACTGCACGACCCAGTTCTCGGATGCGACCTGACTGCTCACACTGTACGTCTGGTAGCAACACGTCGGCCCTAAAAATATGCTAAAAATAGCAGTTTTTACTCAACACGTCAGACTTTTTTGTCTTGTTTTGCCTGTTGTCCTTCATTATGACTGAGTGTCACAATAGAGATATTAAAACAAACCTACCCAAAAATATGCAGTGGTTTGGGGGAGGAGCGACAGCCATTCACCATAAAGCTGAAACCAGGGGCTCAACCGTTCTCACTGAAAGCTCCGAGGAGGATTCCATTACCATTAATGGACAAAGTTAAACAGAAACTAGCCCGTATGGAGGACCTTGGGGTAATATGCAGGGTGGAGAAACCAACCGATTGGTGTGCCGGCATAGTGGTCGTACCGAAGAAGTCAGGGGCTGTGCGCAAATGTGTGGACTTAACTAAGTTGAACGAGTCTGTGCGCAGAGAGAAGTTCATTCTTCCATCAGTGGAGGAAACACTGGGGAGACTGGCTGGAGCCAGAATTTTTAGTAAGCTGGATGCAAACATGGGGTTTTGGAAGATTCCCCTAACTGAAGATTCAGCTAAATTAACAACTTTTATCACACCCCTCGGGCGCTTCTTCTTCAAACGGCTACCCTTCGGCATAGCTTCATCTCCCGAACACTTCCAGAACCGGATGGCGACCAAAGTCAGAAGGATTGGAAGGAGTAGTGTGTCACATGGACGACGTGCTCGTGTGGGGCCACATGCAAGAAGAGCACGACGCTCGCCTGCATGCCGTGCTGACAAAAATTCAGAAAGCTGGAATCACCTTGTACATCGCAAAGTGTGACCTGTCAAAGATGAAGGTGAGCTTCCTTGGTCACGTGGTCTCTGCCAGCGGCATCGGCCCAGACCCGGCAAAGACTGAGGCGGTGAAGAGGATGAAGGTGCCGACAACTGTGAGCGAACTAAGATCATTCCTTGGGATGGTGAACCAGCTGGGGAAGTTCATCCCACAGCTGGAAGAGAGGGAAAAGCCGCTACGAGACCTCCTCTCTATAAAGAACTGCTGGATGTGGGTTGCCAAGCAGGTCAGAGCTTTTCAGGATCTAAAAGATGCACTGACAGTGCCACCTGTTCTAGCCATGTATGATCCTAACATAGAATGTAAAGTTTCTGCAGATGCATCTTCATATGGCCTGGGTGGAGTACTGCTACAGAGATGGGACGAAGAATGGAGACCAACAGCCTACATGTCGCGGTCGCTCACACCAACCGAACAGAGATATGCTCAAGTGGAGAAGGAGGCATTGGGGCTGACTTGGGCCTGTGAGAGGTTTCGAAATTTCCTCATTGGAAAACATTTTCAGCTGGAGACTGACCACAAGCCTTTCCTGAGTCTTTTAGGATCGCAGGCACTGGATACTCTACCTCCTCGGATACAACGCTTTAGAATGCGCCTGATTTGCTACTCGTACTCCATATCCCATGTAGCGGGAAAATCTCTGGACTGCAGACACACTGTCAAGAGCTCCAGTAACGAGCAAAGAGACAACCGATGAAAAAGAGCTGGTTGAGGACACTAACATCTACGTCGACACAGTGGTGGAAAACCTTCCAGCAAGTACTGCGTACCTGGAGGAGTTAAAAGACCAATTGCAGAGGGACAGTGTGTGTGCACGGGTGATGCAGCTGTGCACAGAAGGATGGCCCACACGCACGGCGTCACAGAACCAACTATGAAAGTGCATTGGAGTGAACGGACGTTTCTCACGGCCCAAGATGGTCTTCTGCTAAAGGGACAAAGACTGGTCATATCAGCTGTTATGAGAAACATTGTTCTGTCCAGGCTGCACGTGGGACATCAAGGCATGGTAAAGTGCAGAGAGAGAGCAAGCATAGCCTGTGTGGTGGCCAGGGTTGAGTCAGCAGCTGAACGATCTGGTTCTAAACTGCCGGACGTGCTGTCAGGAGAGGCAGAACCACAGGGAGCCGCTGATGACGACACCATACCCAGGTCGGCCATGGCAGAAGTGCGGAGTGGATCTGTTCATGTTGAAAGACAAAACCTACCTTTTAGTGGTGGACTATGTATCGAGGTACGTAGAGATTGCTCTTTTGACCCCATCTACAGCGGATGATGTAATTACCCATTTAAAGTCAATCTTTGCAAGTCACGGCATTTGTAAGACTTTAATCACCGATAACGGACCGCAGTTTTCAGGAGCGGCCTTCGCTGAGTTTGCCTAAGTTTACGGATTTCTTCGCATCACCAGCAGCCCGAGATACCCCCAAGGAAATGCAGAGGCTGAGCGAGCGGTGCAGACGGTCAAGAGACTCCTAAAGAAAGCGAAAGACCCCTACCTAGCCCTGCTGTCATATCGGGCGACTCCGCTTCAAAATGGCTACAGCCCCGCTCAACTTCTCATGGGGAGGAGAATTCGTACATCTATACCAATGCTTCCTGCTCTACTGGATCCTGACCGTCCAGATGAAAATGTTGTGGAGCTTAAGGAAAAGGAGAGGAAGAGGAAGGATGCACAAAGCTATAATCAGCGGCATCGTGTGCAAAATCTCAGTAGACTCACACCTGGGCAAGAAGTGTGGGTTACAGACCAGAAAACATCGGGAGTTGTCATCAAGGAACATGCCACACCGCGCTCCTATCCGGTGGAGGGAACTCATGGGATCATCAGACGGAATCGCCCGACATCTCATCCCCAGGAGACCTTCACAGGAGCAGGGCAGCAGCAAAACAGCTGAACAGCAAAGCGGGGATGGTCCAACTCAACAAAGTGTGGATCTGCCAGCAGTAACAACACCAGAGCAGAATCTCCTGAAACCATCTCTGTGACCGGGACCAGAGCAGGGAGAGCTGTGATCAAACCAATAAGATTGGACTTATAAGTCATTCCAAAGTTTTCACAAGGACTGGCTGAAGAAGAACTCGGGAACGTTTAGTGGAAGGAAAAGCTGTTAAAAGTTTCTGGATGTTTGTGGGAAAAAAAAAACTGGCACAGTTACTGTAATGGTTATAGTGTTTCTATGTATTGCCGGTTCAAGCGTTCAACAGAATATTTAGCACAGGGAAAGTGTTGTTTTGGAAATATTTACTCCAACTAAGCTGAAGTTAAAAATGTGTGATTGATGAGTGTGTGAATGGTTCAAGACAGGAGACAACCTTCCAGCCAGGGGGCAGAATAATCCCCTAATAGGGATGTAAGAAAATATCGATATGGCAATATATCGTGATATTGTTTCCTGCAATATTATATCGATATTCAAAAGCTGTGTATCGAATTTTGGGAAGAATTCACATGCAAACATTTGTGTATTTTCATTTCCTTTGGTGCAATTCAAACGCCGACTTCTAGTTGGCAGCAGTGTGCAGTGGGCTTTGTTTCCACTATTGAAATGTACATCTCTTTATTATGGTTCAGATACATCACGATAAACATGTTAAGTATCAGTTTGGGCAGTTTATTGAAATTTCCTACAATAAATTCAGTCTAAAAAAATTGCTGCTATTGTCTGGCTGAATGTATCGCAATATATCGTGGTATATCGTATCGTCTCCCCCGTATTGTGATGCATATCGTATTGCCAGAATTTCACCAATGCACATCCCTATCCCCTAAGGTTGTGCATGAATCAGTGGTAGTCTACCCACTGATTCTAGGACAGGGGCGTGTCCAGGGAGTGGCCTGGGGTAGCATATGCCACCCTTGGAATCTGATTGGCCATCCCAGGTGTCACCACACTAATTTACCTTCAAAAAGGCTTTTCATTGTCCACAAAAGGCTTGGGGGTAAAACAAAAAAAGCATAACCATTGGTGCCACCCATGCACAAAGTTGTGCCTCACCTGGGCCACCCCAGTTTAAAACATCTGGACACGCCACTGTTCTAGGAAAGGGGAGAGGTGGTGTAATGTTATGTTATGCTGTTGTGGATTACAGGCGACTGGTTATGACGTCAGCAGGGTGACTAGGGAGAGAAGACGGAGGCCATGTTATGGAGACATGCAGTGAGAAAATAAAGCCACGTTAAACCCGCAGTTGGACTCATGCAGTGTTTTAATAACGCGACAGTCTGGGCCTCTCGCCTTAGGCTACTGCCCCCGCCACCCGACTCCAGATAAGCGGATGAAAATAGATGGATGAATCTTCTGAAGTCAAATATAACAAGTGAAATTAACGTAATAATCTTTAAATATAAGTTTTAGTTAAGGTATTCCACCCAGCAAACAGATTATCTTGATTTATATTAGACCTAGCTTGATTTAAAGTATTAACTGATTATGTCATCAACGTTTATGTGTTGTTTCGTTCTCAAAGGAGTTCAAAACTGTATTTGGAAGTTGTGAAAAGCTCGTTTCTGTCTTGCCTGTAGCCGGTCCCTCCTCTGATCTTGAATTTGTAGATGAAGCTTCCAGCTTTAAAGAAGCGAGTTTCTGGGACCGGGAATGAGAATGGCTTCAGAGGCATGGCGGGCTGTGGAGGGAAACAGGTCATTTACGTGTGATTTATAATGATGAGCTGTTTTGTAACTCGTAAGAAAATATTAAAATATCTAAAGTTTATTGAACTGCTCTAAACTTTACCGTAATATCACCAGAAAATGGCGACCACTAATTTTCTGCCGTCCTCCTCGATGTGAGTGGAACCTCCGGTGGGACATCAACAGTTAAAACGCCGCCTGTCAATCAAACACTTGGCTTGCATCGTCATTGGCTGGGCCTTCACTAACTCCCGCCTTGTGGTCACATGGGCCAATTTGATTGGCCGGATCTTCGTCCAATCCGCGGTGCCGTAATGGATGTCGCTATGGTGACGGCAAAATCCCGCCCAAACTGAGTGTCACGTGACTGTCAGCTGGTTGGTTAGCTCGCGTGTGGTTTACTTTGTCCGGCAGCAACTAAACAGGTTGATTTCTCCACGTTTTTCTTGACATTTTGCGGCTTTTAAAATAGAGAAATGAAAGAAAATGTTCATTTATTTACTTTTATTTAAAATGTGTCCACCAGGCAAACAACCTATGGATTTTCATTCTGAAATAGCGAAGTTTGTTCCATAAGTTCAGCGTATCACTGTTGGTTTGTTACGTAGAGGTTAAGTAATGCTGCGTAACATCAAGCTCCAGCGGTAACACGTGTGTTTTACTGTTTTATTATTGGTGCACTCCTTGTTTATCCTTCCAGGGTGGACCAGGATGCCTTCCTCTCCTGTTGTAGTCCTGAATGCAGGGCTGCAGATGCCTATCCTGGGTCTGGGGACCTACAAGCTGCGCGGTCCTGACGAGGTGCATCGGTCTGTGGATGCTGCTCTGGCTGCAGGGTACAGGGCCTTTGACAGTGCAGCTGTCTACCGCAATGAGGCCGACCTAGGCAGGGCTCTGAGGGAGCTGCTGCCAAAATATGGCTTAACCAGGGAGGATGTGTTCATAACCAGGTGATCATAGCCTGCCGCCACTCACAAGCCCGTCTCATGATCCCATAGTGGTGAGGTAGTGGGTGTAATTCGGTCACAGAAAGAAAGCCTACTGGGGGATGATGTCATTGAACAAATGTTGTGTTTGAATGCAGTAAGCTGGGTCCCAAGGATCAAGGTGAAAAGGCCATGGAGGGTGCCCTCCACAGCTTGACTCAGCTGAACTTGGGTTACATCGACCTGTACCTGATCCACTGGCCCGGTACTCAAGGACTACCAGTGGCTGATCCACGCAACGCGGGTAAACGGCACATTACGTCAGTGTTTCCCTTGGTAACAGAACACCCGCTGCTAGAAATACCCAAATCTGACTGCAGCTCTAATACTGAACCACACAGAATGCAGTGTTTTCATAGTTTACAATAATCCAGGATTCTGATGATGACCTACAGACAGTGACCTGCCCCAAAAAGTCATTTTCATGGACAAAAAAGCCGCATTTTCCCACATTATTCATCAACAGGCTGAGTTATAAGACTAATATGCATGCAGATAATCCTGAAAGTGTTGTTTTGTGTTAGAGCTAGTGCGTTTAGCTTTGAGATGTACACGTGGAGCCTGACCCTCTCTTCTGTTGGTGAATGCTGCATCACACAAGAAATAAAAATCTGAAACAGTTTCTGGGTGTTTTGAGATCATTTAGAAAATTCTACAGAAACATTTCTGATAAGTGAAGGTGTGAGCTGCCGGGTGGTTCGACCTCTCCGGTGTAGATGCCGCAACGTGATGATGTCATCTGTTGTCCGATTGCAGGTAACCGAGCTCAGAGCTGGGCCGCACTGGAGGAGCTGCATGGTCAGGGGAAGCTGAGGGCTATAGGAGTGTCCAACTACACAGCAGCACACCTGAGAGAGCTGATGCAGAGCTGCAAAGTCCCTCCTGCAGTGCTACAGGTCAAACAGGAGCTAAAGGCACCTGCGTGTGACAGGCTTTTGGAGTCGGTGAAAGGAGTGGAGCAGGTACTAATTCAGCAACATCTTCTCTCCAGGTGGAGTTTCACCCTCAGCTCATCCAGACAGACCTGAGGAGTTTGTGCCAGGAGTACCGGGTCTGCTTCCAGGCCTACTCCTCTCTAGGGAAAGGAGAGCTGGTCTCTGAGCCTGTGATTCAGGAGGTGGCAAAGAGCGCTGAACGCTCGCCTGCACAGGTAGGATTTTCTCCTTTCCTCAGCAGACGACTCGTTTTGAAGGTAAAGAGAGATTTTTGTTCCTCTCCTGCAGGTTTTGCTGCGCTGGGCGGTGCAGCAGGGAGTCCCGGTTCTCCCTAAATCATCAGATCCGGTCAGAATCCAGCAGAACGCAGAGGTCTTTGACTTCTCTCTGAGTCAGGCTGACATGGACAGACTGACAGCTCTGGACCGGGGACACCGGTACTGCTGGGACCCATCAGAGGTGGCCTGAGACAACTGTGGTCTAAGAAACTAATCTCCCATGATGCCTTGTG